ACCGGACTCAAGTGCTAGACGTATCTAAATGAACTGGAAACGAGATGGTGGAGCTACTAAATACATTAAACGCCAACATCGTGATCCGCTGTTCAGACTTGAAGACAGGTGAAGCACGATCACCATATAAATGGAGTTATTGTTCACACACTCAATTGCGTCATCGACATAGCCTGACGGGCAATGCAACCGTCCAGCGAAACTAGTGGAGGTAGAGATTCTCAAAAGAGGAAAACAGGGCGGCGTTGAAGTCTCTGGACGGGTAACCATTGCTCCGCGCGTTGCTGTTGAACGGTACAGAAAGTACAAAGGTGCTGAAAGCCCTGACCTACGCATAGTTAAGGTAACGACAGCCAAGGACTAGGAGAGGTCTCACTTTTTTAATGTGAGGAGCTACTCCTACTCAGGTACATTTTGCCTGGCCTGTTGCTAGACGTGCTCGAGTTGTGTTAACGAACGCCGTTACCCCCCCCCCCCTCGTCGCTGCATCGCCCCATTATACAACTACGCTCTGAGATCTCACAGTCAAGCAACGTCACCTTGTAAAGATCATGAGCTGACAACGCATACCCACAACTCACTTTGCCAACAAGGACCTTTCGGTCTGCGTCCATATTGCCTGCCGAGGCAAAACGGCCCTAAATAAATAAAATATAAAACATTAATTTAAAAAACAGAAATGGCCCATAAGAACGCTTTGCCTTGTGCTTCATATCCAACGCGGAGTCCAGCAATCCTGCGGGTTTGCTTCAACCTACGACACCATCAATTGCTGCCGAAGAACTTACGGGCAAAGTCTACTGTTGCTATGGATATATATCGCGATTTAGTAGGTGTACAGCTGTGGTATCTGTATATAACCAGGGCACATCGAATTCGCATAATGAGCGAAAATATGCTCTTCGTGTATCTTCTACATTAAAGGCTAACGTGTCAATAGAACAAAAGGGACAATTAACGAAAGGCCGTGTGCACAAGTTGTGCGTCCTGATGTACTGAAAATTAGTCAAATCTGTGAAACAAGGCAGGACATCTAAATTGTGCAGAAGCAGCAGCAGAAGAAATGGGTTTATTTTTTCGGGAAGCTTCCTCGTCATCTCTCGAGGGCCAAGAAGGTGTAACAAAAGAGGCGGAATTCTGCTGAAAACCAACCTCAGACCACAACAACGTTTGCAGGTCTTACGCCGTTTCGTTTTGCCCCAGGGCAAGTCTCTCTGCCCGGGGTGGCGTGGTCGCTTCTATTCAGTTCATTGCCTTTAGCTGGGTAGCATGCCTGACGAAGGAAGTCATGGAAAAGAGGGAAGCCTTTAAGTAGAATACTATGATCCTTAAAAGCCGCCCCCTTTCCCAGGTGTATTCTGTTGCGGTTTTTAGGTAGCTATCCCAAAACCCCTTTTAGTTTCAAGAGGATACGCGGGCATTGATCTAGCAATGCTACTACAACTGTTCTTCTTCGTGCTTCTCTCAGTAGACCAATGAGCAGGACTCAAATAATCCCTACATCGAGTAGAAGCCAGGGGTCCATGGAAGGCTCTAATCTTTATCCTATCTTCACCCTCTGCTTAACTATATATATATAACGTATATATATATATATATATATATATCTTAATTAAACACTGGAGGTCTTTTCCTACATTAAAAAGGATCAGAATGCAGGCCGATAACTGTCGCCATGCGGTTGTACCCTTCCAGCTAAACCTATAATGACCTGGTTGTAAATTCACAGCGGTTACAGCAAGCGGCTTGCCGTTTGACTCTTCCCAGTCTTCATTCTTGTCTCGATCTTTGACCATGCACTAGACGACCCCCTGTTCACGTGCAAGCTAACCTAACAACAGCCAGCGTCAGCCAGCTATTAAGAATGCCCCCAAAGGGAGTAGAGGCGATAGACACTACTTTAAAGTAGTACGGAGCTCTATACTGTGTAGGTCACAAAGTACTCCGCTTAGAACACTCGATGAAAGCGGGAGTCAATATTTGCATTAAACGAAGACTGGATTAAAAAACCGACCTCATAAACAAACGGAAAGTTATAAAAATTGTGTGTACATGTGGCTACAGTCTTGCATAGTGAATGAAATACAGAGTGACGGTAAGAGAACGAGAGAGGGGTGGAGCGGGAGGGCGGCGGGGGTAGAGCGGAAGGCAAATAAAGTTGTACGAATCTACCACGCGAACTAGCTGTATTCCCTTTGTTCATTCCTAGTAGAAATTAAATCAACTCATTTTGTCTTGGTTAAGCAGGAACTCGACACCCCTTACAATCTGTGCGCTTTTCTAAAAAAATATTTTGCCTAGTTCTATCTAACTTCAACGTAGGTTAGATTTGTTTATTTCAATAAGCGTTGCCTTACATGGTTAGCTCTTTTCCCGCGATAATTATCTGAACAAAAACTATGTAAGTATTTTGTTTTACATATTCGATTCTGCATGACCTTCATGTAAGTTCTGCCCTCACATAGTTTTCAAACTTAGAGGCACTGCTAGCTGGTAGCTTTTGCAAAATTTAATTGGATGTTCTTAGTAATTATCCGTAATACCTAAATGTCTCGAGTCCTAGATGTGGTAATGACATTAAGTAATTTTCTTAGACAATTGGCACTTAGTGCGAGACGAAATGCCTCTAAGCTTGATTTGAAACCGAGTTTGTGCCTAAGTTTAGTAGGCAAGCACATTGCCATTGCAGTATCACATACTTTTTTTTTATCTGTAATATAGACTATCGTATAAATAGTCCTGCATAGCTTGAAATAACGTTGTCTGTTGTTGTGTGTGCATGTAAATATTGTGTAGTTTCTGTGAACACTATCTGTATTTCATTGTTTACCGTATTATGGTTTAATGAAGATCAGCCTTTGTTGTCTACAACCCAGACGTAAACGCAAGCTGCTGGGAATACTGAAGGGATCATCACAGACGCTCTGAGGTTTGCGTCTCGCTCCTGCCCATATATACATCTATTTATCAACCACGTCGGATGGCCAAGTCTCCAACAAGATGGTCTCTCTAAACTCTAATCTCGAAGTCGGCGGACCAGACAGAATGAAACAGGCGTGCATTACGCTGTCTTGAACCCGTATAGTTTGTCTGCTAGCATATGCACTTTTCTTGATCCCAAGGATTTCGCGAACCACTTCTCAACGGTCAGCGCCGGTGGCAGTCGGTGGTTTCTCCCTTAATGGACAAAGCGGAAGGCAACAGCAGGAACTGAATCTCCTCCTTCTTCTCCTCCTTTGTAGTGTTGGATCTGATGTCTTCCGTTGAATCTATTGCCACGAATGGGAGCAGGCCGCCACGTTAACATAAGAACGTCACATGCTTTGTCCCTATCCTTAGCTGAACACTGCCTATCCGTTTTTCCATTGCCCCCACCCCGTATAGAGCCGCTGAACCCATAAAGGAATCATCGGTAGAGACGCTATAGCGATCAGTTATGCCTGCTCGCGTTTTTTTCTACATAGGGCTCCAATTTCTTCGTTCAGTGCTGCTCAGTCGTCAGCTCGTACAGCTACGTACATTAATGCGAAACCCCGGCTCGTTCTGTTGGCCAAGAAGCACAAAGCAAAGCACAAGTGCGTTCCACTTGCTCATGGCGGCGATAGGGGTAGTGATGGTATCGGCGGTTGTAATAGCGTCTTGAAAAGCAAGACTCTCGTCCCAGTCACCACTAAGTCCTTCGTTCGGATCAGACCTTCTGCCATTGGGTTAGTCCTCTGACTTTCAACTTGTGCCGGGGCAAACAGCGGCGGTAGCAATGGCAGCAGACCGGTCGTCCAGACGTCGGAAAGATCGGTTGGCCAGCTAGGCCAACAGCCCCACCCATCACCACGCGGGATTCTAGCCGCATCAAACGAAGTTCGTAAGAAGAAGGCGGTGAAAAGAAGAGGACGAGCGCTCGGAATAGCGGACATTATCGACGCCTGGTGATGCCGCTTGTAGAGCGTGCGCATCTGTCTTTCGTTTCATTCGAATTTGGTCGTCATTGTCTTTGTTTCCTGTTATCATCATAAAACTCTTTTCAGTTATTCATGGTCCTTCTTGACGGCCGATGAAAGTTTCAAAATAATAGGACGTTATAGGACGCACAGAAACATCCACATCGAGGGGTAAAGGTTGGTGCAGAAATTTCATTGAACAAAGCGTTTAGTTGGGGGGGGGGGGGGGGCGAAGAAATGTAAAAGGGCTGCAGTGGATATTAGCGTCGTGAGGATAGGAGCAGTGAGTAAATGCCACAGGCGAGGCCCAAACACCGGCAAGCGTAATAAAGGGATAATAGAAACTGTGCGCTCGAAGAGACGGAAGCAGCGTAACAGAAGTAGAGATAGCAGTTGCAGAAGTAACTTTGGGGATTAAGTTGTAGCTAAAGGATAACATTGTGCACTATTTCGAAATTTCGACAACCGACGTGGTAGCTGGCAACGAAACGCGAGCGAAGATAGTGCCGAGACTTAGTGTCAGCTGTTGACATCATTGACATGCTGGACAAAGTAGCGCTTTTCTTTGTGCTAACTGTTTACTTAGATACTGGGTGCTTCTCGACACTTATTGACTGACGAAACCCATCGTTTCGTTTGTGAGTATCTTCTATATACATTTATAGAGTATCAGTTTAGGAAACTTTGCTCACCCCGCACATTATCGAATGGCACATTTAAGCACCCGCCGCACATCTAAACAACCGGTGACGCATTGAGTACATACAGCAAATACGAACCCGGCCCGCATACACGTGAGCAGGTCAATCATACAAGCGATGCTTTAATCGGCAATGAAAGGGAGACTCTTACGATGACCAGAAAATTGGCCACATCGCAAACCACCAGGCAAATTCAACTCTGTTCGTCGCGCGCGGAAGCCTTTCTTGTTTGCGAGCTCAGATGTACGTCACATACCATTATACACACACTCACACCCATATGTATATGTGTATATATATATTGCCGATATACAAAAAACGGAACTGTAAGGATGAACATGATGACTCGATTACTACTTACCAGAATGGTCTCGGCCGACGTCAACTTATACGAAAGTTGTAACTGGCTGTTGTGTCTAATTGCTCTGAGTTTTTGCTGAAGTTATTGATATTGTTTCGTGCGTGGTCGCTACCCTCAACAAGAGTTGCTTCGATCTTTGTTGAGGGTTTTCGTCGTGTTTTTGAGGTTAGGTACGGTCCCCGTGTGTATATCCTCACAGAGTGCGTGGCATCCTTCACATTAACTTGCTTATTAACTTTTTCTTTTCCACTAGCTCTATCCAACAAAGACAGCAGTTGCATGCAGTGTTGTCACCGTCACATTACGCCACCGCGAAGGCAATCATTTCTCTAATTGTCCACCCAAAAGCTGCCGTTACCATCTGGCCGCCATCAAATCTCAACAATAACTTGACACGTTTCTTCCTTCATGTACTTTTGCCAACAGCTTATTCGTACACACACATGCACACACACTAATGCGCGCAGGTACCCTGGCGATGATGTACTCAGTACGTTTTTTAGTGCTACCTCCTATCTATGTATGCTGATATCTAGGTTTTTGGCGGCATAAGCACTTCTAGCTCTTCACGCTAACACGACAGCCGTCAGAGCGAAACGCACGCGCTGAAAATTCGTCACAGTCGCCTAGCGCTTTCTTTGCTCTTCAGATTATCATTTTCGTCGTGCCTCAGTCGTAAATCCCGATTTGATATATTTGTTTCTCGCATTCATAGAGCCGTGCGCGCGCGCGCGCGTCTCGTTTTGCGGCAGCTACTCCACCGCTGTCGACTGTTTTCTATCAGCGCTCGCTCCTTTCCTTTTGCTGCTTTACCTCCTTGGTACAAACAACGCCTGCTGTCACAAACAGGCACATGCGTGGCACAGAGAGGCCCGACAGCACAGCCTCTTGTAGTGCGGTCTCGACGAGATCTGGCCGCTTAACCATTCCGCCCTCTACCTCCAGACAATGGGAAAGGGAGCCGACAGCAATTGATGGCGGCCAACGAAAACCGAACCCAAAGCCGGTGTAGAGCCATTCACTGCTGTTGGTGCTGGCGTGGAACAGTGACGAGGCTCTCGTATGAGAGAGGGTCGTTGTCTGAGCAGGACAGAGACCCCAGCAGGCACCGAAGAACACCGACCCCAAAAGCCGCCGCTGCTGACGCGAACTGAGAACTGGCGGGGTAGTCAGCGGAGGCGGTCCACGAGAAGCTTTGGCGAAAGCCAGCTGGTCGACGTGGATTGCATGCTACCGGCGCAAGCTGCTTTACTCGGGTCCGTGAAAGTGGACTCCGGCGCACATCCAAAACGCCATAGGCGGCACAAAACGTACGACGATTCCTCACAGGTTGGGTAGTGCTTTGAGTATCGACAAAATAGCGATATACTGGCAGGTTTTTCCGAATAGATGCGTACATTGTTCTAATAACAGTTGAAATAGAGTTTAGTAATAACAATGTCTTGAGGCATTACATTAATTATTTATTAAGGTATGCATATGAAAACTTGGGTCTATAGTTTCTTACGTTGTAAGGTTAGATTTGTGCGAACAGTCGGCTCGCACTGCTTGCAAACAACTCAAAAGTAAACTGTAGTATATCAAATCATTACTCGGCAATATGTTATTAAAGATCACTTAAGGACACTTTGAAAGTGTAAGACCTGAATGTCCGCTGAGCTGTTTCAGGTTAAACTCGAGGCCGTGCAACTGTATTTGTGAACTCGATTCCCAAATGCTACATCTTCTGTAAGATACCCTGATGAAATCATTGAATATCCACTTCGCGGACGCTGTTCACTGCTAACGACAATATAAGGCGGCTGCAGTAAATAGTAATGATGATGATAAGGCATCCTGTTCAAGAATTCTTCATGCAAAAAACTGCAAGTTTTTTTTACAGGAGCATGCATTACGCTGGTATGACTGTTTTGTTATCAATTTAATTGACTCGTTGTCACCAAAAACATGTTTTCATTAAACTAAAACTGTCGTAGTAAATAGCGCCTGTTTCAATAATATTCATAAGCATTTATGAGGCGGTCTCTAAGAGCTCGACATGGCCGACGTACCTCGTTGTTTAGCCCTCGTTTTTTTGCTAATTTTTCATTACCATGTCGACATCTCATCAAGTTCATTTATAAGCTGTGCTATCATGGGATCTGTCCCTAACGCTCTGTGTGTGATGGGCATGAATCCCGAAGTGGCGGATACAGGCTGGCTTTCACGGAAGCTGAAATAATCATGGCAAGGAACCACGGACGGCTCACGCGGAAGCGTTCACTTAGCTCAAGTCAGGGGTTAGTAGGTGCGCCGATTGGCGGCGTATCGAATCCTCAGCACCGCTGGAAATCGTATCGTCTTCTTATCAGATATTGTAGTGGTCGTCTGGCTGCACGTACGGGCGTTGCTAGTGACGGCCGCGCTGGCGTGGTCGGTCAGTTACTCGGAAGCAGCCGAATGCGTTAATCCTAAGCGGCTTAAAAGGACTGCGGTGAAAGTATCTGTCTTCAGTCGTCGACCATCGCTAGGGAACATGGACAGTGAGTTCCCAGGTAGCAGTATTTGTAATGGTAGTAATAGCAAAAGTAAGTGAACCCCTTGTAAGGATACTATATGTTAAGACGGGGTGGGTGCCTACCTGTTTCGTTGTACCCGATGCGTAGACTCGTCCGCTCTCTGCCTGAATACTGTCTCTCGTCTTCGCATTCAAGAGTCCTCCGTCTCTTTGAGACGAACTTCGTGTTTGCTAACGTAACCGCCTATATAAATCACTGTCCACGACGCTCCTCAGTTTCACCAATAATGATACTGTTCCATATCGACAAAGAGGAGAAAAACGAAGACGATCAGATTTAGTATATGCTGTTAATGCAAATAATGAAAATCTTTAATACCCCCCCCCCTCCCCTCCCTTCCCCTGCTCGTCCATTCAATCCCCTCCAGACTGCCTCTCCGCGACTCTGGAGCATTCCCCTATAAACCCCTTGGATGCTGTGGAATCGGTAAGGTAAGCGGGCGAATATCCCCACGCTGCTGAGCTAGTGCGCAGATCACAGAGAGACAGGATTATCATATCAGACAGGAAGAGGAAGGGGACTCCGCCTACAAGGATCTCTCACCTATATAACGACCCAGAACTATGGTGTTCGTATATATGACTGTGCTCATGGTTGCTATAGGTATTTGTTTTCATTCTCAAAGTAGAAGTACTTTGTGCGTTACACTGTTGCTATCATCGGATACGCGATACAGAGCGACGTGTCAACAGTTAGAAAGCTCAAGATTACAAGACAAGTAAATCTTTTCTCAACCAGCCTTTATGAAGTAAACCCATATGAGAGGAAGTTCGACAAAGAGTGGATTTAATGAGATTATATTGGCGATACGATAGACTGGTTCATCATATCTATTGCTATACCCTATATGTAGGTAGAAAATAAAGAAAACGTGTTTCCATAAATAGAGGCACGCGTTTGAGCTTGAAAGGAGTTACTACCTTTTAATGGGTCGAACGATAAAGTCCTGCTTTGACACATGGGTTGACCGACTCCTTTCGCGACTTTATTAACAAAAATTATACCATTTGCAGCACTGAAGGAAAATAATTGTCCACCTGTTATAAGCCTCTTTTTCGAATAGCCGTCGTTGTGAATTTCATGGGGCGAATAGGGAAGTTCAGAAGTTACAGCGTGAGAACTTCCGCTGAAAGAGACCTTCATCATTCAACCAGCAGTGTGCTCGTACTATGTTCTCGTACGCTAATCTGCCGCCGCTCACCGTATGTTAGAAGCCCACTGCTACATGTAAGAAGTACGAAAGATAACTGACGGTCGTGTTACGGGTTTCAATGAAGGCCAATAAGCGAATCATAAAAGCATGCCCATATGTCGAAGGCGAGGCGAGAGACACTACCGTAACGCTACCAATCAAAGCTCTTGGTTGATCGTTGAACGAATTTCCATGGGAACATAACTGAGCGCAGTAGTTACTTCGAAGGCTGTACTGGGGGGCGGAACTGGGGTAATTGTTGAAAGAATCGGTAAATGTGAGATAAAAACGGTTATTTTTTAATGCAGTCGGGGTTCCGATTGCAGCCCTCTAATCCGAAATCGACAATGTCATCATAGCCTGTACAAAAATAATATAAATTAATTAAATACATTTTAAGTTTGAATCTGAATATATTAGTAACACATAATTTAGGATACAACCGAAGTAGGTTTTTTTTTTAAAAATTATATTTGTTTGATTTGACTAATCATATTGTCAATATTATATTTGCTTTCTGTCGTCTGCCATCTTGATATCTATTAGATTTTAGGAGCAAGTTCACCGGCAGACCGTTACGTATGCTTTCAATAGCTCTACAACTTTTACGCATTTAATTAACTGGCCTATTTTTGGTCGATACTCGCCCTAGTACCTCTTGTTAACCCTTGTACATGTTAGACTGGCAGACTGGATGAAAATAGAATATGGTCTACCCCCCGGTTTATCTTTTAGCTACCCTAGCAACGACTAATTTATGCCCCAAGCGCATTTCGCTTGCTCATGAGTTCCGGTGACATAGCTGATCAGTTTGCTAAGAACTTCCTTCCTGGGCTTCTTTACGCTATCATTGAAGATGCATTCAGCCGGGTTCCCTCTACATTCCTTCTTTGCCTTTTTCCATTTGTGCGTTTGTACTGGCGCTTTCTGAAGATCTAAATTTGCGGGCAATTACACTCTAGCGCCAGCGATGCCATTCGTGATGGCTTCTGTGTAGCAGCAACAGCTGCATCAAGAAGCTATGATGTTTCTTCACCTTTTTCCGTCCTCAATCGACCCCTCAAAAGAGACTCTCCCTAAAGTGTGAGGTTCATTCTGTGTCACCTACCTCAGCTACCCGAATCTGCACACTGGACATGCTACCTCCCCCTTTCTATACACGCTGCTGCCTTTCGACCTACCTACACGTCACTCTGCAACAGCGGCAGCCATCCAGACGAACGAAACCTGTCGGCGAACTTACGCACAAGACTGAGGGCGCCCTCGTTATACGATGGACAAGCAAAGAACACCTTGAATCACGATTAATACACGAATCTAGTAGTGATCCAGGAAGACAGCGATTTCTGAAAGGGTTTCTTGTCGGAGCACAAGGCCTGGCGTGAGCGCATGACGGCTCACCTCGTTGAAATCGAGGTACGCAAAGATAAATACGCGGCACACTTAATACACTACATGTGAAGGAGGTAAACCAGCGAATAGTGTGACTATTTTAGGGAATATAAAGCAGACGTAAGAAAAACGCGATAACGCTAATGGCAGGAGTGGCACAATATCCAGACGAAATTACGGTAAACAGCCGGGAAAACGTTATGATGCCCCGATGCTTGGTATAATGGCAGAGACGGCTAGTCGTAGGCCGACTGTGGCAACATTAGTAACAACACAACAAATACTGTAATTCGCCGGAAGCACATGTATACAAGTTTGTCCTCGTGATAACGCGGTACTAACGTCTTCACCTACTAAATTTAGGGGACTCGTGGTGGGTTAGGTTCGAATGCAGACATAGACACACTTCCTTTCATGTTGCGAGCAGCAGTCTGAAGTGACGCTTAACGGTATCTATTAGCAAGTAAATACTGTGCCCACAATGAAATCAATTGCGGACGAGCTAAGATGGTGGTCGTGATGATGGCCATGAGCAATAATCTTAACGGAACGCTCTGTACAAAATGAAACAAGACTCCTATCTACGGTCGTAGTAAGACTTCCTGTGGCACGCGTGCAATTTGGTATCGTTCCAGGACCAGCGAAACCACCAACCGATAAGGAACTACTATCCGCTATACACTGTCGGAGCGGAAGATAATTTAAGGCTAGTTTTTTCTG